ACTCAGGGGTGGGAGTTCTTGTGACTGCGGAAAAGAGCGCGAGGGATATATATTCTTTTACTCAGGATGTTTTGTACTACACCACCCGGTCGTTCCCATGCTCTTAGTGGTCGCACGGAAGGCGAACGGGAAGAGTCTCTCCTGTTTGATTTACTTTGTATTCGCACCCCGGACAGCTTGCAGAACTGGCATCGATGTTTTGGCGATGCTCTGGCCTCATCCGGCCTCAGCTTTCCCTATAAGGGTATCATCAGCCAGTGGTAGCCGGTGGGGACGCCAGTTCGATGGTCAACAGCTCCGCTTTTGAAACGAACACCACGCCGATCCGCGGTCGGACGTCACGCGTCGACGTGGGAGGTTTTTTTGGCCCAAAAGGGTTGCGGGGAGACATGCGGAGATGGAGCGACACGGAACAAGCAGAGAAGCAGAGAGCAGCACGTGAGAGGCGAAGATGTGGTCCAAAATGAGCATGTAGAGGTCTGAGTAGCTCATAATGGTTCGATTCCCTTGAAATTCTCATGACATGTCAGCAATTTTGAGTAGAATTAATAGCTCACAATGATTGATTCTCGAGAAGACTTTTGGTGGATGTTCTTCGCAAGGCAGACCAGAACAGGCAACCACCGATGGAACCACACCGTAATCAAAGATCCAGTTGGAATCCCTTGGAAAGCCAAGCTGGGTCTGGCAAATCCGCTCTGTAGCAGTGACCCAGAAACATCTCACTTGATCCACTTAAAGATACCGGGTTCCCTGGAAAACTGCCCAAGCTCGGCGGACCATTCTTCAAGCAGATCAATGCAGATCACATGCAGAAACCTCCCTCAGTTTTGAAGCACTGATTTCTTCCACTCAGTTGGTTTCATGCCGCTGGGAAGAGTTCCCGCGCATGGAGGATCCCGCCCCTGGGGTGCTCACCCTATCGCAGGTGAAAGCTTCTCGGGTTTCCAAAAACGCACCGCCGCGAACGCCCACGTGGCACTCCGTCCGGCGACGTCGATGGTGGGTCGGTGGGTCAGCGCTGGGTTCCGCGCGGGGTTCCTGAAGCCTGAAAGTTCAACTGTTGGTCTGGGAGTGACGTAAGGCCAACACCAGTGCTAACACCGGCTGAATCACCACGGCCCCCCCCGTAACAAGGTCAACAAGATCAAGGTTTGAGATTGGAGGTAATTATTGGAGACCGCAGCCTCTTAATGAAGGTGATGACTTGATGATGGATGATGACCTGGACCTGATGATGGTTGATGGGATTCTGTGTGAATCATGAGATGCCATACTCAAAAAGAACATCAATAAAACATGATCCGTCCTTCTTCGCGCCGTCCCGTTCCACTCCCGCTATAAAACACGCCACGGTCTTCTCGTCGCGTCTTCTCCGTCGCGCACCCGCCGGTGCAGCTCACGAGGTGTGTGAGCTCACGCGGAACAAGCAAAAGGCGGCACTCTTCAGCAACCCCTTGGGCAAAGCCTGCTACGAGCTGGATCAGGACCGAGAGGTTCCGAGAGGTTCAGCTCCAACGGCGCTGAAGGTGAGTTGATCAGAGTCGTCTATCAGACTTGAACTGTTTCCAAGAACTTCTAACCCCCTAGGCTCCTAGGTGGCGTACTTCCCATCTTCCAAGGGGTCGAACTCACTGGGAGGTCTCCCTATAAAATTTAGGTCTCCAAACAAATCCATTTTTCCTATAACCTGGCCCATGAGGTCTCACCATCCATCCGTCCGTCCAACAAGCTCGCTCCGTCTGGCCAGGACCGTGTGAAGGCATGCCTCGACGAGCTGGATGAATGCCAACTCCTCGAGGTGCCACGGCCCCTCTTCGGAGCCAGTCCCAAGAAGTCCCCCCTAATCTGAATCAGTGGGAGAGAGGGAAAGCCCCAACGCCCCAAGCCAGGCACCAGAAGCCTGGCGTTTTTACCCCTCCTCCCCTCCAAAGCAGCAGCACTATTCTTCGGCTCCTGTTTTTGGGGCAGTGCGGGGATCAGCGAAACCCCTTCCACCTCCGCTGCTCCGGTCTATGCGCGCTGCTCCAGGCTGGCTTGGTCTATGCCTCGGAGGTGCGGTCCACGGACCGTCCGCTGAACAGCAAAGAGCGCCTCGGTCCCCGCATCGACCGACCGGCGCCGGCGGAGCGGGCGATGAACGTCCGAAGGTCCGTTTGGTCCGTTGGGCGTGCGGAGCGGCGAAGGGATGGAGCGGTGTGACCCAGCGGTGTGACGGGCTGGAGGAGGAAGAAGAGCGAAGGGCTGGAGTGTTTGTTGTGAGGTGGATCTATAAGCCTCTTTCAGCACCACTCGGATCAGCATCCTTCCAAGGGTTGGACTTAGCAATTCTGGTTCCTTTTTGGATGGTCAGCAGCTTGAAGGTCGAACGATGATTCTTCGATGATGTCCTTAGCCAGGCCTTTGGGGGGAAGACGGGACCTCGGCCATGGGACCTCGGCTTAGTTCTCACCTTCGCTGCTGAGGGAACGACGGTCTAGGCAACCCCTCACCCTCCAAGCTACCCCGAAGAACGGTGGTTTTGGGGCCCTCGCAGGTTGCACCGAAAGCGGGTGGCACCGAACGCGAACCCCTGGTTCCACCGAACTCAGGTGGCGCATGTTTCAAGCAGCCTCTCGGCCAGACGACGGAAGCATCGTACGCTGCGCTGGGTGGACACGCTGTCAGTCCATGCGCTGGGCGTCCGCGTGCCCGGTCCGCGTGCCACATAGATAGCTGATCGATTCATCATGACTCATCTACCAGCACCTCCAAGAGGTGTCGGACTGAATAGCCCCTGGCTGAGGTGAGAGGTTAGGTGTCCAAAAACCACCGAACTTGGAAGGTCCTGGTATAGTTGACCACTGCAAAGCTATTAACGCCGCCTGACGAGAAAAACCGTTCATACTTTGTTGGGGAGGTGCCTCAGCACCTCAAACATCCTCAAACCATTGAAAGACTTGACGTCTGGATGTGTGTTAAAATGCATGGATCATTACCCCACCTTCTTTCTTTCCAGCTCGGCGGCCTTTCAAATCTCTTAGGTTTGGTCCGCGTCTAGACACCTCCTCCCGCCCTCCACCCGGTGCCGGACACCCCAACCGAACCAATAACGAACCGGCACCGATGGCCGCCAGCCGCGGGCGAACAGTCCAGGAGATCGGCTGTCAGCCGTTACACCTGGCCTGCTTAGCCTGTGGTCGTGCCGTGGAGCGCCTTCAGCCGCTCGGCGCGCGCGCCCAACAGCGGCACCAGGTCACTGGGGGAGTGAGGGCAATGTGTGCCGGGGAGCCAACGGAAGATACGGAGACGGTGGAGAGGGTGGAGTGTGAAATGAGAGTTTGGTGGATTTTGGTGGTAGCTTCTTGTGAAGAGTCCATCTCGTATGAGCCATCGTCATGGCCAATTTCTGCCTTTAACTTTCGTTTCTCGACTTGATTATGACTTGGTTGCCAGGCCCATGGTGACGGCTAGCTAAGCGACGTGTGAATCCGTGGAAATGTTTGGGCTGCCCAAATCCCAGTCGCTTCCATTCTCGGAGTTGGGAGATGGAGGATGGGTCATCCTTGGGTCATTGTTGACCTCTGCAGTCTTTCAATTCGTGTCGGTGGTTTCTGCTTTCCCGGCCGGCGGCCTCTGGGGCCACCCGGCTGTTGATTCGTGACATGCTGTTGAGTCCCAGCCGATGGCTCAGGTGGGTAACTTTTCTCAGTTGGTTTCGAACAAGGACAGTGACAGGTGGACCAGTTTCACCCTTCCGGGGAAGTGAGGGAGTCAGAGGTGACCTTTTGGAGTTAAGTTAAATCGAAGCAGAGTATCAAATAGTCACTTTGAAGAACCCGGTCCTCATCGATTCTTGCACTGAGGAAGGAAGGTGCCTTTGAGAAGGCGAAAGCCACACAGTCCTTGGCAGGTGTGGACGCGAAGTAGTCCTAAGTGATATGACATTCAAGTGGTCGTGGATGCTGGTTCCCACACGGCGGCCCAGGGCAAGCTATACATGGTATCATTAAAAGCAGTGTCATGAGTAGCTACGAACGTCGTTACCAAGGAAGGAGGATACCATCGTAGGTCTCCTTGTACCTTGTATCACAATGGTTGCCAGCCACTTGCTAAAGAAAGACTATAAGATTCCCATGGGTTGTTCCTGGAGACATCTCCCCCATCTTTGGATGGCAGTCCACAGCGCTTGGACCATGACCTGCCTTTCTGGGGTGCTGCTTGGACCATTCGGAACACACAATGGTGAGGCCAGCAGAGTCTCAGGCTGTGCGTCTCTTGCAGATCCATCCTTTCTTCTTTTCAATATTCCCCCCCCCATGATTCATGGCCAAAGACAATGAGATACAATGAGCAAGTTCAACCTTGCAGTCTTGGGATGTCTAGAGGGATGTCTTAAACATCTATAATCAGGATGACTGACTATATATATGGAGATCATGGAGCAGTCCGCAGAATTCTGCTCAGATCGGCGTCTCGGTCTTCGATGATATCGATCCATGCTCGAGTGTCACGGTCCACTCCGGCGTTCAGACGCGGACGTTGTGGTGAAGCTTCCACTGCCTCAGGGGATGTGGTGAAGCTTCTGGCAGAGTACGGAGCACAGCTCGACCTAGTCGACGTGGGCGGCTGGGCAGCGATCGGCAGTCAGCACCGGTGGAAAGCTGACTCAGTGGATCCCAGGCAAACCACGAGTACTAAGGAACCAGGGATTCGTTTGGTCTATTATTTGAGTCGAACTGGAACCACTGGGGCTCCCAGCGACATCGTGGGAGAAGCCTGGATGCCCTGGGTGAGACACCTAAAATACAAGGTCCAAGGATTGACGCTCCGGAAGTGGAAGTGGACCCCTTGAAAGTATTAATATATACTACCCAGACACTCCATGTGGTTGGCGTATTTACCTACATTGGGGTGGTGCCACGGGGGTCAATGGGGCGGCAGTCCTATGGCAGTCCCAGTAGTCGTGTTTGGGCTATATATACTGGTGTCCGGTTTTCCTCTACGAATTGTAGGCCGTAGGCCCATTTCCACTTCCATGATTGGAGGCTCGATCATTTGGATCAGAGGCCAAGGAGTGAAGAAGTAATGAAGGACGCGGCACTCAGACGGCCTTGGGATCTACCCCCTCAAAGTCATCCACCACGGTGGGGGGTAGCGTGATGGCACCACGCGGGTCACCGTGCGGCGTGCGGGCGGGCGGCCGCTGCAGGTCCGGTGGAAGGCACTCCCCTCCACCTGGCCGCGCGCTTCGGCGCGGCGAAGCTCTTGAGCACCCTGCTAGCGGCACGGCGGAGAAGTAGAACGCGGGGGGTCCTTTGGGCAGGTGGTAGCCACAACAGCTGGGCAGGTTGTGCCTAGGGAAGAGGAGGGCCACCAACAAATAGGTGGTAGTCACTTCTATAAGGGGCCTTTTTTCAGATCTGGTCACATGAGTGTCGCTATCCCGACCCAGTGCCTTACTGCCCAAAAAAACTCTGGACGATGCTAAGATCAAGAGCCTACAGAGCCCGGAGCAACCTGCGGGCCATAAGGCTTTCAATGCCACACTCCCTCAAACCTCCTGTCACTTCATCCGGAAAAATCATATACCCACCTTGGCTACTGGCCCCCGGCTTAGCCAGTGGTTCGCCGGCAATTCCGCCACAGAAGGTCACCAAGGATCACATGCAGCGCTGCCCTATTCAGTCATGATTTCCAGTGCATCGATTCACAAAGTGTCTGAACATATAGCAGGATACTATGATATCATGAAGGATTCCACTGGCCACAGGAGAACTTCAATCAAAGCCACTCCAAACCACCCCCTTTTGGACCCCCAAACCATGACCTCGGCAGATCTGCACCCCCCTGATGAACCCCTCGGACCGCGCTCTCAGCACCGTCCGGCAGACCTTGGGCGCCGATGCCTCGGTCGTGGACGGGGACGGCTGCACCGCGGCGCTGGTGGCTCAGCGGAGCGGGCAGGTGCTTTGCCAAGAGACGCTCGGCCCGACGTTCGGCGCGCGTCCCGCGGGTCCCGCGGCTTGCCGTGAGAGGGGCTTCGGGCGGCTTGCCGCGGACGCGTCGCCGGGACGCGGCGCCGGGACGTGGATGGATTCCTTTTTTGGGGGGTGTGCGGGGCTCCATGTATGGCATACGGTAAAATATAAACATGTATAATTATGTATTAATATAGATTATATATATATATATATAATATACATATATATATATCTGTGTGTGTGTGTGCGCCTGCGTTGACCCCTTTTCAACCACCCCAATGTATATAGACCTTGGGTCTTTGGACAATCCTCCTTTCAAGAACCCTGGGTCGCCATGGTCTTCAAATCCACCTGAGGGATTGTCACATGTACCATTTGGTGAATATGGCCCCTCGTTCAGAGTGAGCCGCTCCACAATTCCACACAACATGACGGGGCCCAAAAAGCATGTTGCCATTCGTGACCATGAGATCGATCTTCTGGATCCTTGCTCCTGCTTCTCCCCCAACCCTCCCAGCTCCTCCATCCAGCAAAACTACTGCTTTTCTCAGTCGTCTCTCACTCCGACCTCACTGAGGATCTTGCAGGTAGCACCTCGGGCTGCATTGATCATAGGGTCTGGAGGCTTAGGCTTAGAATTGACCACACGGCAGGGGTTGAAACAACGTGGAGTTTTATGGGGAGGTCTTCCTGAGACCAGGGAGACCCCCAACCATGCGGCCCATATTGATCTAATTCTGCTTCTTCCGGGTGACGGCCGCCAAATGAACAGGTTGACTGGTCATGGTCTTCTGGTGGCCTGACCACCCGGTTGGGAAACCCTCCTGGTGCTCGTTGGCGGGCCGAAGGCCAACTTCACAGGTCACCACCTGCCAGATTGAAGCCTCCCTTTCAGGCCACCGGAACAGACCTGTAGAGACTGTAGAGCAGATTAGAGAAGTGGGTGCTGGGTTTCATGTGGTGGTTTGAGATTCCTCACGGGGCGACTCCGAACACACCTGGTGAGTGTTCACCTATCGAGCCTGTGATTTCACTCGGCATTAGGCGGTCTGAAGGATCCAGCAAGGGAGGGTTTTTGTCGACATTTTAGTTGCTTGTGATTCCCCAAGCAGTTTACTGTTCGGCGTGCCAAGAAATCGATTTTTGTGATTCATATTGGTCCAAACGAATCGGTTTAAAACTGTTTGGGGTCTACGCTGGTATGATTTTGTATCATTCCACGACTCATTTGTTCCGTTCTTTTATGGCTCCTTTTTTACTTTTTTCACGTTGGCCCATCCGAAAAAGAACAAAACAACACACGTTTTTTCCCCCCACGGATGTCACGGGAATCTCTTGGTCCTTTTAGGACCGGTGCTCCGGTCCTCCGGTCCTCCCGGTGGTTCCGAAGCGGAACGGTCGCAGGTCCTCGCGGAGGAGCAGCGCGAGATGGACCTGCTGGAGGGCCCCGTGGGCGAACGCGCCCGGCAGAGATGGAAGGAACGTTCCTCGGTCGACGGCGGCGGCACGGCCGCGGTACGGGCACCGGCGTCTTGAGCCGCGAGGGTAGCGGATGTTTTGGGCGCCTGAGATGTCATGCAGGCTTTTGTAGATCGAAGGGTGTGGAAACCCTGCAGTCCTCGTGGGAATGGGGGACTTCTGTTTTGGAATGGGAGATGTGATGCTTCCGTTCTCTTCTTCCGCGGCTTCTTTGTCCCCGAGGAAAGGGGCTCAAGCCCGGCAACTCCGCGGCGGATGACACCGGTTGCGCCCTCGAGGGCGAACGGCCGAGGAGGATTACGGGAACGAAGTATGCGCAGGGGCTCTGGGCAGCGCGGCTTGGGCTGCAGGACCGCGGAGACGTCGGCAAGCGCCGATCCTTCCGCTTGGAGGAGGTCCAGCCCTGTGGTGGGAGGTTGATGCGAAGTGTAGGGATCTCCCTATAGACTTCCAAATAGATGAAACAAATAAGTAAGAACCCTTGCAACATGTATTGGAGACCGTGCCACTATCTATGTGGGGACCACTCAAAGAATCATCAGATTTTCGGTGTTTTGCAACATGGAGAGTCGTCCGTCGTTCGGAACTGGGAGTTTGCTGACAGACTGAGATGATGAGATGATGTAAGTGGAAGACTCCGACCCATCAGGGATTCCCATCAAAAAGAATAAGACCAGCAGTGGTTTCAGAGGTTCAATGGCGCAAGTTACCCCACGTAAGGTGGTTTATGCAGACTTCAGACCCCCATCTACAAGACATTTGGGGGTTTGTACCATCGATTCTGAAACCACTGTAGCCAGCAGTGCTTGCTCGTACCGTCCATTTGGGGATCGAACATGGTTGGTGAGGTCGGCTGTGCGGCCAGAGGCCTCTCCTTTCCCAGCCCCAACATGCCAACATGTCGAAGAGCTCACTGTGCGAGTCTCAGTGGTTTTCATGATCTCCAGTGGACACAAACACCATAAACACCCATGATGGTTTGGATTGACTCATGACACATGACATTGCGCCATCTTGGTTCAATCACACGATTCGAAGCAACCAAAAGCTTTCCAAAAGCTTGGTTCAATCACACACTTTTGGACATCACCCACACTTGCTTCGAAGCAATGTCCAAAAGCTTGACTCCACCCAGGCTGGGAACCCAACTCTTTGGTGAACCGTTTTGCGTCCGCCCCTGAGGACCCATGGAGGAGAGACCCTCCTCCGGCCGCCATCAAACGACGTCATCAAACCATGTCTCCTCACCCACAACAGCCTGGATCTTCCAACTATGCCTGATTTCTGCCTTTGGGCTGTTTCTTATGTGGATGAAAAGTGCAAAGGCATCAATGCGTTCGCAGTTGGAAGATCCTAAGACTACCCTTTCCACCCACACACCCTTTCCAACCGCTGACCTTCGCCCCAACACCTCTAAGGCTCAACCTGGATCAGCACGGCTCGCGCTCGCGCTCCAGCTCGCGCTGCAGCACCGTCCACTCCGACGATTCGGAGCGATGCGGGGCGGAACGCGGAGCAGAGGTGACGCTCAGAGGGTGGAACAAACAGATCGTCGAGATGCGCAGAGATGCCTCCCTTGTCTTCGATCCCTTTTCTTGGGGAATGAAGGAATGAAGATGAAGATGGATGAAGCCGCGATGAAGCCTGAACGTTTTGGTGGATGTGTTTGATCGAAGGTGTACCAACCGGACCGCAGCGGCGCGCCTGCGCACCCGGACCGCTGATGCTTCAAGCAGGGCTCTCTGGCCACTGAAACTGGCTTCTGTCCTTCAAACCTTTTTGCCTTCCGCAAGCACAAATATAAAGTTTAAGGTGTCTCTTTCTATTTAAACCAACATAATTGACATCCAATATATATAAGTATATACAAAGTAACATGCAAAGCGTATTTATATTCAAGTTCCACCGGACCAAATTGGCAATAGAGGAAATTCATCAAATTCCTCTTTGTGTCATCCAGTCAAAACATTCTTTCAATAGTCTTGGACTTCCAGTGTGTATTACATATATATATATATTTATACCTAGCACTTCCTGTTTGGGTGCCCTGTATACGGAGACCTATTGACGTAGGGTGGGGTAGTCTAGCCAGGACACCCAGACAGGATGATCCTTGGTACATATGGCCAATCCACATCGAAAACGACCCTCCCGTAGGACTCCCCTTCACCTAGGCCCACCAGGTACCCCTGGACAGGCTTTTTCATCTGGCCCGTCCCTCCTCTCACCCTACTTCTACATATGGTGAACTGTGATGACTTCACAAGTCTTGCAGCTTCCCAAGCAGTTCCCACCATCAGCCTCCCCTCACTTCATTCACCGTCTTTTTTTTCCCAACTTCAAACCCAATCCGCTGGGTTCACAGCACAACCCAGCCCGGCGCACGCCGGGGGGCCTTCGGCGCCGCACCGCACCGCCTCGCAGGACCCGGATCTTCAACTCCGCCGGAGCGTGCTGAAGCTCCGCGCCCGCAAGGCGCGGCGGCAGGACGAGCTGGCGATGGCCCAAGAGGAACGACGGGAGGTGCGGACCGGGGAGAGGAAGGGACCGAAGGTGACGGGAAGTGATGTGGGTCGGGTGTGTCAGTCCCAGGTTGGACCTGCAACAAGGCCTTGGCTTTCACGAAGAACCTCACGGTTTTTGGAAGCAGAAGGCCCGCAACCTAACCATCATCCACTGTTACTGGTAGCGGGATAGACCCAGGAAGTGATGAAATGCGCTTTGCAGGGTGAAGGGTCTGAAGGAGTATCACAGCAGTGGTGAGTGGGGTGGTGATGGGTGAAATGCTGTACTCGTCGATTCAAAGGAGAACACACCGAACCAACGACCTGCCCAGTGTGTCGCTGAATTAGTTCTGAACACTTCGTCTCCCTCCAACTGGAGTGCTATGAGATGTTGATCGACCAAGGAGGAGCCACTTGATACTTTTTTGATCTTTTGTTGTGACATGAGCTAGGCAGTGCAATCATGAAGGACTACGGCTCTCAGCGATTGAAACTTGGCACTTGGTCACCATTTGCCCAAATCGTTGGTTCCCCATCGGTCACGTGAGGGGCTCTAGGTTTTATGTCACTCCTCCTTCTCCTTCTGCTCACCCTCGTCCTCGTCTTCATCCTCCTCCTCCTGCTCCTCCTGATCGCCAATCTGCAAGCCAAAATCGATGCCAGAACGGATGGGAGATTTATTCCAGTGTCAAGTGTGAGTTCAAGTGTGATATGACAGAAGAAATGTGAGAAGATACAAGAGCAAAAGTAATTGTGTAAGCCAGGCATGATGTCAGAAAAAGACTGCCATATTTTTTGGCAATAAACATCACATGTGTTTTCTGGAAATGACCGGACATAAGATGTACACTGTACACATCTGTACACATAATCTTAGAGCATTTCTTAGGAAGAAAAAACCACCATTTACATAATCCACCGCTTTCCACCGTGTCGGGGGTCCGGCCCGGGGGGTTCCGTGCGAACGGCCGCCCAGCTCCGAAGGAACGTTTCATGATTCGAAGATCTGCCAAGTAGCCACCTCATGGCCATGGATCCACCTCTTCCAAGATCCACTGCTTCCAAGATCTACGAAAAGAAGAGCCACCTCATGATCAGTCCACCGGTGGAGCGAGCCGGGTGTCTTTGTCCACCGGTCCTTTGTGGTGGACGAGCCGGCGTCCGTCCGCACGTGGCTTGCCAGGCGCTGGAAGAGAGCGAGCACCTGGAGACGCTCGACTACGATCCGGTGGAGCGTGCGATGGTGGCGCGTGGGCGATGGTGGCGCGTGCACCTGGAGGGTGAAGACTAGGTAGACTGGGAACTGGTCCTGAACTCAGAGTGGGTGGTCTTGGTGCCTTCAAGTGGCCAACACCAAGCACCGGGATCCTTTGATGGACAGGTGCATGAAGACCTGTTTTTCATCGTCAAATCATCAAGTGGTGCTGGACATGGACCCACAGTTCATCGAAAAGAGTATCCAAAGCCACACCAGGTGTCTTGAGATTGCAACGGCTGTGATGTTGCATACATGCATACATAACTATGCCCATTTGCCTTCAGTTCAACCATGGGAACGACTTGGTGGTGTAGTGCAGTTCCCATGCCGAGTAGAACAATTGTCCTTTTGGATTGCCATGAAAACAATGGCTGGCCTTCTCATCCAAGATCTATGTCAGGCTCACACTGATTCACTGTGAGCTCCTCGATTCACTGGAGATGTTCTGCCTTAAATCCCCCAACCTCCCTCCAGGGGCAACCCCGCATGGCCCATCCAAAACCTGGGGGTTTCCCTATCAAACAAACTGGTTTTACGGATTATGGGTGTATATTCTTACCTCAAGAACCCCCTTGACTCTGGGAAGGTCTCTGAGGTGCGACTCAGACATGGAGCGCAAGTGGTGTGTGGGTATGTGAACACCGTTATTTGGTTTATGGTGCACGGGTTTCGGGCCCCTGGCTGGTTTTCAGCACTATTGCGTTTCACCAAGACACCTAGAAACCTGTGGCGCCGGACGACTTCACTGGTGGCCGGCGACGTCCAGGAAGAGGTCCACATGGAACCTGCAAACTCGTCTTCCAGTCTGGTCCACAGGTTCCATGTTAAAATCTTGCTGGATGTAGGTTGCCAGTATGGTTGCCTTATGTTTCCGCACCAGGTCACAGGCCCCAGTCCGAATATTGAACGTCTATTAAGTGGGTTGGTCCGAAATATCTTTGGTGTTGTCAACAGCTGTGATGGATTTGTCGATGGTGTGACAGTGTTCATCATTTGTTGTGTTCATCAATTGTTGTGTGCTGCTGAAGTGCTATGTCGTGATTCTTATGCGTGTGGGACAGCTGAATGTTCTTTTGGCTTTCTCAACTTTCAATGACTTTCTCCTTTTGCTTATTCTCAACCTTCTATTCCAAACCTTCTCTCAATTCTCTTTAATCTTGGGCTCATTGTCTAAACTTGTTTTCACATTTTTTGAGCGTTTCCTCAACTTTCTCCACCTTGTCACGGCTGTTCTTAGTCTTTTCTAATCCCTTTCCGCCTTTTCGAATGCCTTTGAACTGATCTCACCTTTTGTTTCGACTCTTCTCCACCGACTTTGTCGCAACGTGTCCCAACCGTTTTGAAACATCTCTTGTCAACGTTTTCAGAAGCCCCTTTTTGAATGTGTTTTCTCAATTTTCTCATGTTCTGGGCTTTTTCTCAACATGTACCTTATTACCTTGCTGTTCCCTTGTCTTATTTTTCAACTGTTGCAACATTTGTCTCATTTACCTGTTCTCGTGCGTTTTTTCGTCGCAGCCTTTTGCAAGCCTGTGCCAAGCTGGGCATGCTTAGCCAGCTTTTCTCACCTTGCCCGACCCTGTTTCTCGATCTTTTTACACTCAACCCTTGTCAGCTTTTGCACGATCTTGTTTGATGTTTCCCACTTTTCGCAACATTACATGCATATGCATATTTGAGGCAACGTGTCCCAACTTTGTTTTTTCTCGAAGCTTTTCCCAAACCATTTCTTAGGGTTTGATGGGCCTTGTCATCTTCTCAGCGATATTTACAGTAACAACTTGTTCCATCCTCGACTGTTTCTGAATATTCTTTCAACTTGTTCTTTGTTGTTCAAACTTGTCTTATTTACTCAGCATCTTCCCAGCACAACTCCAAAAAGCAGATGCCGAGAAAGCCAACACGTGTTAGTGGTGGTAGCCCTCGTCGTCGTCGTCGTCGTCGGAGTAGTGGTGGTGGTGGTGGTGGCGGCGGTAGCAGTAGTAGTCGCAGCAGTGGTAGCAGTAGTGTAGTAGAGTCGGGTCGTAGTTGCCGGGCCAGGGCAGAATCACACCCAACCCTGGTTTTGCTTAAGATGATTTTCTTTCTTCCAGGTTCCTGGGAGCCTCACATCCAACACCAAGCTGGTTCCCCCCCGTGATCTGGAGCGTCTGAGCTGGCACTCGTCAGGAAGCAGCTCACTGCCCTGAAGGATCGCTCCGAGACGCTGCAGGACCGCCTGGCTCGCCACTTGGGGCGTTTTTCGAGGGACGAGTTGGGCGTTTCAGAGATGGAAGGAGGGTGATCGTGTCACCATGTCCATGAAGAATGGAATGTGGACAAGGGGCCCCTGGAAGATGACATTCCTCTACAAGCAGGGCTGTTTTCAACTTCCAGGTTGATGAGTTGGAGTGGTGAGGGCCCCGTGATGGAGTCGCCAGGCCTTCGCCGAGTTCCTGGCGACTCCATCCAAGAAAAAGCAGTGTTCAAGGAAGAGCTCCTGCTATCTCCAAATGGTCACCCCCCAAGAGGAGTCAGTCCAAAGGCCCACCAAACCCACCAAAACACCCCCAAGGGGTAGGGGCTCTTAATGGACACCCGGAATCCCTGGTGCTGGTGCATGTGGGGATTCCGTGGACCCCGAGGCTTCGACGCGGGCGATGCCGAACTGGCCGACGAGATCGCCAGCGAGAGGGAACTTCGGGCGGCTCGGTGGCTGAGAGGGTGGGCAGCAATCCCAGACACGACACATGGGACTGGCATGCCGCATGCCGATCCATTGACCCCTCTGGCACCACCCCAGGCCTTGACCCCTCTGGCATCGAAGCAACGCAGTCCCAGACAGGTGGTGTCTTCCCTCATTCGGCCTACCCACTGGGACCCCCTAGCGGCCGGAACCGAACCGGGGGCCCGGGAACTCCGCGCGCAAGCGGTCGAACTGGTTGACTCGGTCGTCGAACCACGACCGGAACTCCGCCGGGACTCCCTGGGGTTCGTTCTGCGGATGCCCGGGGCATCCGGCGGACTCCTTCGGACTCTCGGCACCAAGTCGGATTCCATGGATTCCATGGATTGTCCTTGTTCTCATAGAGAACTTGGCTCCCTCCTGTACAGCCGATTCATGGTTCTTACTGGAGGCCATGGATTGGGATCTCATCCTCATCCAGTCCATGCGAGACTCCAAGACTGCATGGCGCATCCAGTCCATGGATTCATCATCTCATATCATTTCTTCAGCCTTCGCCCCCTCCGCAAGTCTTGGATGCGGACCGGGGCCAGTATACGAAGTTTTTGGGGTGCGGCCAAGAGGGGCACGGTGTGACGAATGAGGTTTGGTGTGGACGATGCGTCCAGGTCCTTCCTATCGAAAGGAGCTGCTCGTAACAGGAACGTTAGCAGGAATGATGGATTTCGCCACGGCGGGCTTCTCCTGCTGTCGTCTTCCGGTGCCAGCATTGGGATTCGTCGGTGCTCGGGATTCGGCACGACTTTTGATTAAAGCCCCCAACATGAAGAGGTTTAACCGTCCAAATGGGTGGTGTTTACAAATCAGTCTGCAATTCATGGACTATGGAATCCAGGCACCAGCGGTCTCAGGGTTCATGCACCGGGCTTCTTCCTGGCGCAACTCAGGAGTGGTGGGAATCTTGGCGGATCTTGGCGTCCGGTGCTTTCTGAAAACGTGGGGCGTCCGGATCCAAGGATCAGGCAACCCATGGGAACCTGCAGCTGAAAAAAGACCTTGTTTGATGCTACAACCAGTAACCACTGTTGTGGTGGAAGCGTGTGTGTTTCTTCACATGTTTTTTCATTGCTGTTTACAGCCATCATTGTCTGATGTGTCTCACAAAAGGGCCTCCAGGCTATGGTTTGTGAGGTTAGTGTAACGATTTGCAGTTTTGAGAGCAGGAATAGCTCCGAAAAGTTGACGGAATTGGAAAAAAGTTGATGGCGTTTACGCCTAGATCATTTTTCTTTTTTGTGTGTGTGTGTGGGGTCCATATCAACCATCTCTTGAGGAGTGTGCCATCTACTTGGATCTTACTATAAGGTAACTAGAGGAGTTCCACGCCGACAATCGAATTGAGGACGCTTCGGGGAGTTTTGGTTGACATCTACGGTCTACGGTGGTACTTTCTTCAGAAGCACAGCCCGATGTTGGCTGTTGATTGATAAAACCTCCATATGGAGAAGCAAAGCCATTCCGTGTTTTGTTGTTTTTTAATTTTTATTGTATACGTCCCAAGACTAAATGTTGCACCACTGAAGTCAACGGCCCTCTTTTTTTTGTTGTCTACACAGGTTGCCCACTGCAATGGACATACCCGGGGCCCCCAGATGGCCCCACGGTCCCCCCCCCCCCTTCCCAAGGAGAAGCGGGCGAACGAGCTGGAACAGCCGCCCGGCGAAGCGCAGCGCCCGCGTCCGCGCAGGTCCGTCCGTGCCGGGCCGGGAATCCGACGTGGACAGAAAACGGGGTCCCTGTCTGTAGTGGAGGAACGTGGTCTTCCTGGAGCCATGCCATTCTTCCATGTCACAGTTCCGAACTTGGAGGTGTACCACTTACGATCCGTGGAACCGGTGACCGTCACCACTCAAGCTCCCAGCGCTCGGTCTCCGTGGCTCGAACGGAGCACCCCCTGGAGCGGAGCTCCACGGAGCCAGCGAGCGAGCTAGGCGAACGGTTCGAGGACTCGCTGGACCTGAGCAGAGCGAGATGATGAGGGGTCTAGACTTGGTTTCTGGGTGGAGGCGCACCGTCTCAGATGGGAGCCTTGCTTGACCAAAAGACGCAGTCTGTCTGAGACAGACGCAGGTGACCCTAGCGAGGTGACCTGAGAGACCTAGTCTTTTGAGAGGCAGGGCATCTGAGTTTCTGGCATCTTAAGACGCTCGTTCGCCTCCTCCGGAAGTGAACAATCCCTGGTGCGTAGGAGAAGATGGGTCTTTCCAGCAGCCATGCCATCCACTCCCATGATTGTTGGAAGGCAACTATAGGAAGCTAGTGGCTTGCTAGCTTTGCAATGCTTTTCACAGGGGCAAACCACGTGTTGGATACACTCCCGGCATTTTGTTCACTGACCACTTTGGGATTGCCAAGCGTTTGCTCTTTGGGGTGTGTGCAGAGGAAGACAGACAGGCACCCGGTTCACCCACGCCAAACAAGGGTCCTCTACCCGCACCATTCTTCCGCCATGCTTCCCTTTCAAATCATCCCAAAACTGCTTGCTGCTCCGCTCTCGCTCGTTCTCCTCTGCGACTCGCTCTCGCGCCCTCCGCCCTCCCTCCTCCGTCCACTCGTCCACACGCGTCCTCTCGCCCCGCCCGCCCAGGCAGGTCGCCCAGCGCTTGGCCGAGCGGAAGGCGATGCGCGAGGCCATGAGCGAAGAGATCTACCGCCTTGCCCCTCGGTTGCGGGGGCTTTCTCCGGGGAACCGGGAACGAAACCTGTGAAGGGCGGCGCCTGCCCGCGGAGCCGATCAAGCCGGTGGCCTTTTTGGGGGAACGAACGGGCAACTTGGGTGGGTATGCAATGGATTGAGATGGTATGAAAGGTGTCAAGGGAGTTTGCTCAATTTTCTGGAGTCTGGTTTCTTAGCTGGCGGTCTTTTGTGACCCACGGACAGCTTGAAAGTCACCAACTAAGGGCGGTTGGTTTCTGGTTTCAGCATTTTTCGACGAAGGATGTGGAGGTGAGCATGTGCCGGTCGCGGAGTAGCGGGCCAGAATGAGAGCTGTTGGAGACCTGCTCATGGTTGGGTGCCCGAAGGACCGGGCCCTTTTGTCCCCTAAAGGGCTTGCAGGTTCTTGCCGCGCGCCGCATCCCGGTGTGGGAACATGTGGCGGTGTCCATCCAGGCAACATATTAGTGGTCATATTATCGGAACATTCCAGGGATGACTTGCTTACCTACTGTTTGCGGGAAGCCCTTCACAACCCAACCACCCGGTGTGATGCATGATTCTATATCAAGGGAAGAGGGGTATATATTATCTCTACCAGGGCCCCCTGAAAGGGGTGTCCACTTGTAGCTCCTTAGAGGTTCAGGGATGTTCGTAGCCATAAACATAAACCACCCCTAACCGGGGTCGCCCCAGTCACGAGAACCCGCGTCCGCAGAAGCTCGGGCTGGCCAAGTTGGTCAAGAAACCCATTTCTGGCCCCTTTCTCAAGACCACGACTCCGCATCAAATTACATGAACCTGCCGAGTGCCAAAGGCACTGCTCCGCAAGAGATTATATAGGCGGCCTGACTAGATGTAGACCCCCCCCCAAAATGGATGGAAGTTAGTTCGTAGATCCCCCACTCAGAATGTCTTGGTTTCCACCGTGCCACTGACTTTTTGAGGATCACTTGGGATGAAGACATTCGAACACATTTGGGACACCACGGTGCCGGTGCCGAACGGAGGATAGCTCAGAACATCCAATCTAAGACCGGACGAGCGAAGAGTGACCTACATGGGACTGGGGCCATAAACCACCACCTTCCCAGTGACCGAACTGGAGAATCCCACTTGGCGGGTCGGTCACAACTTTGAGGCGATCGCCTCAAGGTCACGTCTACCCATCCTGAAGAGGTCACTGGTCCGGGAAGGTCCTGGTTTATGGCCCAGTCCCATGTAGGTTCCTCTCCGCTCGTCCGGTCTGGGATTGGCTGGTTTGATCGGACGGGACCCGGCCCGGACGGTAGACCCGCTCGTCTTGAGGAACGGGAGCTGCGCTTTCATCAGCGACGGGTGCAAGGAGAGAGCCAGAACGGGTATTTGTCTCATCGGGCGGTCAGGTCCACCCCATTTTTCAGCCCCTTTTTCGTCGTGGACGTCGTGGATTTTCTGAAGAAGACACCAACATGATACCTTGGGGCTGTCCTATACATGGCCTGCAACTGAACCATCATCATTCACTGTTTACAGGTTATAGGATAGACCCTGAATTATAGAATCTTGATTGATCAAGCCGCCGAGGCAGAAGAGGATTTCCATTTTGCTAGAACCTGGCGAGTAAAAATGTCTCGCAAGACCCTACGGCGGTTGTTTGATTCATATATACTCCCTATAGGCGAGGCGAAGATGGATTCTAAGAAGGATCAAGAACCGGGAGTCACAAAGGCGTGGTGTTTAGTCCCCAATTGAGTGGATAATGGGCACCCCCAACCTCCATAAAGCACCCCTTTGCGACTGCTGGAAGATGTGTTCTGGACGCTTGGAGACAGGAAGGACACTGGAGTGCCAGTCATTCACTGCGATTGCCTCGATCTGTTTGGAAAAGCATACGCCGCAGATTCTTCGGCCGTTGTCCGCAACGCCACAGCCAGGCCTAGAGGAGTACTGGGAACAGTTCTACGAGGCCCTGTCGAGGGGACGGTGTTGCTATTGCTCCATCCATTCCAAGGCTTTGCTTGAATGGGGCTTTGGCTTCAAATGCCTTGACTTCTGACCCGTTCGCGAACTGACTTCTTCTTAACCGTTCGAAGATCATGAAACGGCGACATGCATGCGACATGGTGCCAATTAGCAGTGTAATGGTGTAATAGCATCCGAAGCAACGTTACCTGGCATTTTTTAACGCTACGTCTGGGCTGATTTTACCGTTGATAAGTTGGCAACAGGAAGACGATTCAATATCATCCTCATTCCTTGGCAGCTGGCAGCAGCTGGTAGCTGAGACATCACAAGACATTCCAGCATGCAATAGTAACGAGGAAATGTTCAAAAAAGAATGCCCTGGCCCTGGTGTCTATGTTCCGTGCAAATCCAAATCTTGATGAACGTGCATGGAACCCGCATTGATCCCTGGCCCAAAACCGTTGAAGTCATGTGCATTCTAGCTGCTTGTCCGCTTCTCCGGAGGACATGTCACCGTTTCATCTCCAGACCAAACCACTTCGACGCGTGAAACCAGCCGTTCGCTTCTGGTCCCCTGGATCTCGGTGATTCACGTGGAACCGGACCGGTTCAGCGCGTGAACCCGCGCCGCCGCGGCGGGTCCCAGGCGGACTGCGCCGTGGAAGTGGTGGACTTCCTCATGGCCGAGCAGCGGTGCCGGTACTTGGAGTCGGACCTGGCGAAGCTCACCAAGGCCGCGCGCAGAGCGCTGCGCTGCGGGTGGCGGGTGGCCACACCGCCGTCGGTGTGTGGATGGGGGGTGTGGTGGGGAGAGACTGGGTCGGTGAGGTCGGTTTGTTGGGGTGTGTGGATGGGGGAAGGTCTGAAAGGATGTGAGCAGAATGGGCTCTTTGGTTCGGGGTCTGCCGGAGGTAGATGGAAGTGTCTTGGGGTAGCAGACCGGGGATGAAGAGAGACACCTGGTCTTCTGAGAAGTCTGGGATGAAACCCGGTCTTGGGGTCTGGGGCCTCCCCAGTGACAGCAGACTGTTGAGAGGTGCCCCCCAAAAATGGCCAGTCTCCTTCAACGCAACTCCTGACTGCTTTTAGTTCTCTTCTTTCTTGGCTCGCCCGCGAAATCGCCCGCCTCCACATCCTCAACACCCGCACCCCGCCATTGGACCGCCCGCAACTTCCCGCGTGCCTCGACCTCACGAGTCGTTCGGCGTTCGCGTGGCGTTCTCAGTGCTCAGCGCCCTAAAGGCGCATGTCGGCTTTCATGTCGACTGTCGACTCTTGATGAATCATACCCTCGGCATGAAGAGGACTGGAATCCAAATGGGATGTCTTCTGAATCGCCTGTGGAAGAAGCAGCTACGAACGGGGCTCCTGGCATCGCTAACGAACGGAGCAAGGACTAGGAGCGCTACTTCGCGCCGCGCAGGGCTTAGACCTGCCTCTCTTCGAGACCTCTTCGAGAACTCTGGCGGCGCCGTGGCGCTTGGCCGCCGTGGCGGCGGTGCATCGTGCGGTGCACGCGCTGCGGTGCCGTGGTCGAAACCACACGGGGCACGGGTCGACCGAGTCGGGATGGAACGAGCGATGGCAGCCACCAGGTGTGGAACAGGGCGATCGGGGCCCAGCCCATCTGCAGAACCATGAGCTAGTTCAGGACGTGGAGATACCACTCACTACCAATAAGAACATCACCCTATACCCGGAAGGCTCTGTGCCGGGGCCTTGGTTTTTCCACGTCGCCGCAACCAAATCCTCTTATAAATTATCGAATGAGCTCCGTGTCATATGGAACTGTGGTGTGAGCAAGAACCACATATGTGAGTCATGCATGTTACATAGGCTGTGCGTGGGGTCCTTTATGCGTCCCACTCAACCGTTGCTCAAGCGTTTCCCTTCAAAGTGTGGTTGTGTCTGCTCAACACAGATGCGTAGGATGTGCGTAAGATCTTTTGCTGGGACCTCGGTCGCTCTAAGCTCACAGTGGGGTCGTGTATGCAATGACTTATGCCGCTATGCCGTGCCTTACAACACCTGGGGTTGAACACGTGTTTTCGCAGAGCTCGTTTGCTCTACCGCCACCTGTCGTTGGTCCTAACAGGCGGTCACCACCATTAATAATAACTCAAAACAACCAGGGTCATCCTGTCTGGGTATCCCGGCGTTCGACTACCCTACCCTACGTAAACAGGTCTCCAGACAGGGCACCCGTTGGAAGTGCTGAATTCCTTTTTTTTTTCCGGAGGTCTCACGTACCTGGGCTCCTCCGTCCGCCCTTTGTTTCGTCCAAAACGAGTTTACGCCGACTGACTGACGTACGTATTTGGTCGACACCGAGGAGTAGCCACAAGGACAGGCTCAACGAGATGACGGAGTTTTGTAACAGCTGGGGGCCTCGGGTCTGCGGGGCGGTCACGACGTGTTGGCCACAGCCAACGGAGGTCTGCCCGGGGGAGGATGGAGAGGGAGGGGATTTGGGGTGTGGAAATGGGCGGGGCGCCGGTGTGGTGGGGGGCGGCTGTTGTTAGCGAGAGAGAGAGAGGGAAAAGAGATGAGAGATGAGAAGAGATGAGAAATACCAGGTCTTGGTCGTGGGAGTTGCGGGCCGTTGGACGCAGAAAAGCAGCCTTTTGGAGCACTGAGTGCCGCATGGATGTCAGATTTTGCCAGACATCCATTGGGATTTGATTGATCTGCTGGGGTGGAGCTGCTCATCCAGCCCTGCATGGTTCCTTGCTAGATCCATCCAGAGCCTGCCGCATCCACCACAACCGAAGCCGGATCGGCCTGCTTGTGGCACTCCAACCCACCCGGTGGTGCAGTTCAACAGCCCCCGCATGTACGGCTCGGTCCGGCCCCACTGTGTACCACTTCCCCTGTCCGGTCTCTGAACCTCTCTTGGATGTTCCGGAAGAACAGCGTTGCACTGGGCCCGAACCGGAGGGCACCGGCGCGTGTGTTTCCGGAACCGCGCTCCATGCGCTGGGTGGTCGCCACGGACCCCGGAGAATCCAGAGTCCATTTTCACTCAATTCCAACCGAATTTTTAGCAACCGACTCCCCCTGTGGACATCCTCCCTCCCACTTGGAAGACGATTTTCCCTGTTGGTAAAGAGGGGGTGAACTCCACTTCCATGATTGTTGGGGGGGAGGGTAGCTGAAGACTGTTGATGAACAGCCCGCCCCTACCAGCATGGTCTTGCATCTCCATACGGAGGATTCTATTCATCAACAACCTTAGAATGACCCCCGTCGTCGAATTCGGACTGTTTTTTGCCCCTGGAATCCCACGAGTAGGACACTCGTGGTTCCAAAACCATGACCTAAATGCTTCCAGCACCTCGCGCTTGCGCACGAAGTCCGGTGGTTTCTTTCAGAACACTCCAAAAGCCCCCCAAGCGCCTTCCAACATCCTGTGACTTGGCACCCCAAGTCTGGTGGCTTCTGGGCACCCAAGACAAGACACGAAAGGAAAAGACCCGTTGGAGGGAGCTGGGCCCCCATCATTCTGATGCATTGACCCACTACTTGTTGTGCACGACTTGTGCCTCTCGGGAGCTGCAGGGGGACCCCGACACATCTATAGCGCCGTCACTTCACTTCTGACAAACCAGCCGAAGGGGTGTCCTTTGGGTGTTTTCCCTCCATGCGCGGATGCATTCGTTTAGTTCACCCCGTCGAAGAAGAGCTGCAGTGACTGAGGACCACAGTCTTTCAGGATGCCATTCTCAGGGTCCTTGATCGTTTTTGGATGTTTTGGGGAGTGTATACGTTGTCGTCTTCTCCTCCGCAGCCTCGGACAACGGCCTGGTTTTCTCAACGAATGCGTGGGCCTTTTTGACCCCAAAACACGCCACGGTCGGGCCTAGTATTTGTGCCTATAGGGATCCAGACGTACCTTCTCAGATATGGTGGGACTGGGGTAGGCTTGGTAAAATACAGTGATTTCAGAGGTTCGTTCTGGCATGTTTCCACGTTTTTTAGGTCCTCGACTGTCGCGGTCAATCACTGAAGTGGGGGGTTGTGTCATCGAACCTCTGAAATCACTAATGTAGACTCAATTGATTAATAAACCCCTCCTTTGAAGAGGACTTTCAATTCAAATGGGGGGGTGTATTCATCAAGAGTCTACAGTCTACAGTAGTATTATATCTAGCCATATCTAGCCCGTCTGGGGATCCCAGTCGTACCTTCTCAGGTGCGGTGATTTTTCGCTGACACTGTGGTGGTACGGTGCCACTAGTTCGGGTTTTTGGTGGCCACTGACCCAGACACAACCTCTGTGCCTGCCATGTCGGACTGCCTTCAAAACGGCCCAGGGGTGGTTGAAACGGGGGTCAATGGGGCGGCATATATTATATGATAGGGTCTGTGTCCGTTCTTACCTGTAACAGGACCCGTAAACTCTGATCATGATGTTCTTCACGTTCTTACCTGCAACCAGGCCATCATCATCCACTGGGCCCAGGATAGCTCAATTAGACCCAACAGTCCTATGGCAGTCCCATGGGAGTGACCTCTTTGGGGAGGTCAACTGGCGGAGAAGGAGCACCAGCTCTCCATGGCCATCGAGGCCTCACTGCAAGAGCTGCTTGGGTCGGCATGTGAGTGAGACTGGTCCGGGTGATCGGTTCCGTGTGGTGCCCCAAATGGCCGAGTGGCCAAGTCCGACTGGTGAAACGCCCGTGAACGGCCTACGTCCGACGTGTGCACGAAAACAGCCGAAGTGTCTCTCCTGCCTGGTGCCGAAGCACACCGATCGCTTTCTGGGTGCTTTCGGCACCCCCATAAGAACCCTCCCATGAGCCTTTGCGTAGGTCTTCATCCAGACTGGAGAGAGAACCTCCTTTTCCTTTTCCAGTGGGTCCGAGGCAAACCACGAGTACTAAGGAACCAGGGTTTAGTCGTTGCCTGGAACCATTGGGACTCCCGACATCGTGGCCTGGATGCCCCTTTTCCTTCTCCATTCGAAAGACGAAGCCGGCCGTCCCAGGCTGGCGCAACGCTCCACAGATCCAGTCTCCTGGGCCACGTGGAGATGGAACGCTCCGCGCGAGAGACCAGAGCTGTGATGGAAGAAGTTGGACTCCCGTTTGGGATCCAGTCGTAGCTTCTCAGAAGGTCGTACCTCCTCAGAAGGTACGACTGGACCCTCCCACCTACATAGCAGTGTCGAACACATCACCGTACCTGAGGTTCGGTACGACTGGATCCCAAACGGGACTGGTTTTCTTTTTTTAAAGGTTTGGGTCCGTTGGGGATGCTGGGGTCTTCTCTGAAAGTGCTCTTCAATGAATGGGTCGATTTTGGGGCCGATGTTCCACCAAACCGAGCCCGCTGGTTTCGCCGCTGCGCCCTGGTCCTTCAACGCGCCCTCCCCTGGTTCCAGGGAACTCCCGTTTGGTCTGCCATGACCCGTTTGGCCGGATGTTTTCATGTCGTGTTCTGTGGTGCGGAGCATGTCCAAGCGCCTACCGGGCCTACCGGGCCGACCGGGCCGACGAGCATGCTTTGAAGTTGGCGTGCTGTAGGTGGCACGCCCTGACATGGTGAGGGTGGATCCAAGTCCGGCAACCAGGGTCTAACACCGAAAACCTCGAAGGTAGTAAAGACCGTACCTATTGCTTCTTGCGCAGTTCATCAAGAAAGAGATATAGATCGATAGATATCATATCATGTATCTGTATATTATATAAAATATACAAAACATGCTAAGCCCCATATGGAAAAACATCTGTAGACACCTGGTCACCTCTCAGTCTGATGCACTTCCACCCGGTTCCCCTCTGCTCCCGAGGGGAAGCTCGCGCGGATGATCGACCTCACTCGGGAGAGGCGTGGCCAGCGCGGATCGGTTCAGGACGGACAGGTGCGGGTGCGTGACGACGAAGGGTTCGTGCTGAGACGGCGGAGGTTGAAAAGAATGGGGTTGGTACCGGTTGGAACCCGCAAGGTACGGGTCTGTGATGATTCAACTGATGGGGTTTGAGAAACTGGACTCCGTGATGCTGTTTCCCTTTTGGTTTTCTCCGGAGATGGGTGCTTTTGGCAGGCTCAAAGTGGAGAGACTTCTTGGGGGGGCCGTGTCAGGAGGTTTCACCCCCTTCACACGGTGCCGCACCGACCGGGCCTGCGTTTCCTGGGCTTCCCGCCAGGCTGGAGAGGGAGAGCGCCAAGACCGCCGAGGACCGGTGGTCGACCCGGGGGGTGCCATGGGAGGTCCCGAGACGCGCCCCATGGCGCCACAGCCATTAGGTGTCTTTTTTAATACCAGGACCATCCAATGGGTGTCCAATGGAGATCCCTACGCTACGTAGTTTTTTTTTTGATTGGACACCCATTGGATGGTCCTGGTAGTCGCATGTTTTGTTTAAACACATATAATGTTCTTTTAAAGTAGACAGGACATGTTCAACAACCATGGTGTCTTTTTCTATTCCTTGTCTTCGTTTTGACATGTCGGAACCTTAGGACCCATCTCCCAAGCCATTGCCTCAACAAGCCGGCGCGACACTCCCTGGACTCATCATGGCTTACGCCGATGGCCCCCCAGCTTATGAGCTTACATCTACCCGCTTTCCGAAGACCGTCCTCCGGCGGGTTTTCGCTCCCAAGTGTTGCCAGGTATACCGAAAAAGACGGTCATTCTTTGGAAGGTTCTGGGGTCTTATGGAGAACCTCCCAAGGAGTCAATATAGACGGTCCTATATAGACGGTCCTATATATGACGGTCATTTCTGGGGTCTTATGGTAATTCTTTTTCCCCCAAGGAGCCGGAAGGTCCCCACATCCACGGTGAGAGTGGCCGAAGGCGCAGGTCCACGGTTCAACGGTCTTCGGTCTTCGGGGAGGCCGAGCGTCTCCGCCCAAAAAGCCGACGGGGGTAGGAGCTCTTCAAAAGAACATGGGGCGTTTGCCGTCTGAACATGATGGGATCAAGTCCAAATGGGCTTCTGTGGGTGAACCCTCCGTAAGAACTTGAGTGTCGCACTGAGCTTGAGGCTTGAGGGATGGCATACACTTGATGATGGGTTATGATGGCATGCGGTCTATTACGGTACTCTGAGAGGACGAAATCAGGACGAGCAGATCTGCAGGTACAATGTACGTTCGTCAAGTTGTTTCACCATGTTTCACCCTCAAAATCCACATCCCTCTGAGGTACGGTGATATGTTGAAGACACTGTTATTCAGGTGCTTGGAGGGTCCAGTCGTACCGAACCTGAGAAGGTGTCAGTGGATTCCTAGGGTCAGAACTAAGTGGTTGACTGACAGACAGATAGGCTTGATGAACGAAATCGGAGATATCGGAGTTGGCTTTAGATTCTAGATGCTCCAGCCGCTATAGAAGCTCGGACCGTGCATCGGTGCATATCTGATCCCCATGTTCATCAGGTTCGTCATGCTTTATGATATGTTTTTCTAGCCGGTGAATGACGTCGGTGGATCGGCGATCTGGCTCTTTGCTTCCTTTGGCCAAGTCTGGAGCAAGACCGCCATACGCCGTAGCACCAGTAGTGAGAGTGGCTGTTGCTTCAGCCGTTGCTTCAGGAAGAGGTGGAGGAGACCAGCGTTTGAGGCTGTTTTCGCGCGGCCGGTTGTACAGGACACCGCGGCCGGTTGGATGGCCTGCATGGCCTTGAAGAAAGAGAGCACCTGGGTGGGGGGCTTCCGGAAGGTGACACCTTGGAAGGTGCTGGTATATTTTTCAGCACCACTCAGTTCGGCTAAATTAATTACTGCATGGACAGCGTCCTGAGACGGTGTTTTCCATCCGAAACTGGGTGGTTCTTCTTCCGCTACTCGCGGCAAGGGTCCGTTCGGTCCATGCTTTTAGTCGAACTGGTCGAACTAGTGGTAAGTGGTTGCCCTGGGATGTGCATGAAATGAAAGATCAAAGCGCTCCGATGAACACATGGAAGTCCAAAAGGCAGGAGAGACAAGTAGCCGAAGAAGGTGTGGAGGGCCCCCTCATGAGGTCGCACAGGGCCCTCATCGCCATTTGGGTTCGGCCCCAAAAAGGGGTGTGGCCGCCAAGGCGGTTTCGGAGGGTGCGTGGGACTGCCGGGTTGGCCCAGGTCTTGGCACGGCCAGCTTTTTTCATCAACTCAATTGCTGTTTGATGCTGGATCCCAAACAGTAGCAAGGAAACAAGACTTTAACACAGGTGGATAGAATATGTACCATCAGTTGTTAACATGTTGCCATTTGTTGCCCGCTTTGTTGGGTCCATGATTTGTCTCACCACAGAGCAAGGAAGGCCCCAGGGTGGCCTCCGAATGCGGGCATATAGTGTGTCTAGAAGCTATAGGATCCATACAGAGAATCATAAGCATCTAGGGACAAGTGAAGGGATCAAACTCACATGACCCCAGTGCATACCTTCGACTTCCCTCAGCTCCAGCGGGGAGGTTATGCCAGGACACTGGCCGCCAGCATAGAAACCATGAGCTATGGCAGAGGTGCCGGGCATTTTGCTACAAGGAGTGGGTTTTGCTCCAGGTCACATAGAGGTGATGTTTTGCAGAAACAGAAGATTAACTTCAAAACGGGACTGGTGCGACTCCCGCAAAAATCATGGTGGCTGGAACCCCCCCACGACGTTCTCGACTGCAACGCTCCTTCCCGAATGTATAGACTGCCGATCCATCAGACCTCCCCGAAGTTGAAGAGGTTCTTCAATCCATGTCTGTGGGGAAGTTATAGATATAGCCTACCAGGACCTTCCAAACTCGGTGGTTTTTGGACACCTCGAATCACCTCCAAGAGGCTACTCTGTTGGACACCTCCAACGACCCGGGTCGAGGAAGCACGTTCGGACTGGCACCAAAAAGCGAGTTCCCTTTGCCTTGAGGCGAGGGGAGGAGTTCCCCAAACAGTACAGGGTCAAACCTTATAAATATGAACATATATAATATATATATATATACCGACCCAACTCCCAGGTGTAAAACATTATTGTATACAGTTATATACAGTTCATATACTGGCCCAACTCCCAGGTGGCCAGTTTTGGAATGAACCTGGAACCCTCAAAAAAGCTCGGTGCCGATGGAATTTCGAAAGGAGGCGATTCTGGGGACCCGATCTCTGAGGGTCCGGTGAGGTGTGGGCCGGGCCTGCTGGCAGCCACTGGCCCGATGAAATTCGACCGTGAATCCTTTCTGGTCCACAACTCTGCGATCCTACCAAGGGAACGGTGCATCATGTCCGCACCACGTGCTTGACCGGCTTTTGGCCCACAGCCATTCAAAGTCACCCCAATCAATGGCCCCAACGTTGACCCACACCCATGCGGACCAGAGTGTCCTTAGACTCCTTTGACGGGCCACGCTTGCCGTGCCCTGCTTGGGAGGAGATTTCCCGATGAGTTCGGTGAAGGTCAAGCCACTTGGTGCCAGCGTTCCCGGGTCAAGTTCGCAACTCAAATACCCACTGTCTATCAGGTAGCGGGGCCTTCTTCTTGCACGATGTTGCACCATTTTGTCGGGTTAAATTGCCGTGAATTCCCTTATGCAACCTACACGGCAAGTTTGCAGGCTCCCCCAGCGGCGGCGCGTTTTTGCGTCCCGGTCCCATGGTCCTCAGGGTTGACGGACATCTACTCAAGTCCATGGAGCACAAGTTAGCTGCGCTCTTGCAGGCACCGTTGCCGCCCCCTTGGTGCACCCGTGAAAATTCTGGTTCATGGCGGGTGGCTGGGGGTTGGCCAAAACCAACGCAGACCTTCGGCGCCGCGGAGTTGCGCCGAACGCTGGTTCCGAACACCCCTCCGAGCAGCCAAGGATTTGGGAGGGTCTACGCACCTATGATCCAGAGGCGTGTTGGGTGAGTGGGTGGGTGTTCTTTTCGTTGGGGCCCGGGGGGGTCAAAGTTGAGACCGCCACGCTGCCGATGAAGAACCTTCATGTTCGCTTGCTTATTGATTCAGTGTAACTGCCAGTTGCTGCCCCAGTTTTTGATCGAGAAGCTGCAGGGAACCTGGATCCACCGGCGCCCCTTGAGCTACACCGATTTAAAAAAGGATTGCGATACACCCTAGGCTTCTGGCCAACCATTGATTTCATAGGTTTGAATCCCGAACAACCATTGTTTACTAATGAATTTGCACAACGACAGGTTGTTCCTTTCTTTTAAAGGTCTTGGAAGGCTAGGGGCTAGTTGGATGAACTGATTCATGACGGAAAGCCGCCTCAGGTCTTCATGATAGGGATCGCGTTGGGACCAAATCTTTTCTTCAATGTTGGATGGATGTCGGACATTCAAGTCACCCTATATACCTAGGTATGATGTTTTTCTACGTTAGGGTCTCCACCACCGGCAGGATTTTCAGGGGGCTTTTTTGGGTCCAAACACGTCCCGCCATGTCTCACTTCGTGACTACCTTGCTTTCTCGCTTGTGCTGGTGTGTCGTGAAGTCAAGAACACCTAGGCACAGCGGCAGAACACGTTGCGTTCGCGACATGAAACATGGAGGGAACTGGATGGATAGGGCAAATGACGGCTAATTATATACACACGGGTATCATCGGGGTATCTCCCATGAATTGCCCGCAACAGTCCAGTCAAACGATATATCACCATTTTGAGAAGGCTCCAACCACATGTACCATGATATATTATCTCAGACCTACTGAAAAACTATAGGACCCACTCTAGGGCTGGTTCATAGAGGGCTCTTAGACCGATCTTGGCATCCCTCTTTCCACCTCTTGGACGATCGGCGATCGGCGTGAACTGGGACAGTGCAGTTCACTCGGGGGTTGTAGATGTCTATTGATCCGTCCATTGATCGGTCCCATCAACGCTCAGGGCTCAGTCAACAAAGCACACGAAAGAAGATGTCCATCCTTCTGCCAAAGAGGGTCCAAGTGCCTTCTGAGAATGTACTTGGATCCCTAGGGGGAGTGTGTGTTGTTTGATTCATCTTCCGCTCAAAAGACGGTCAACGCTTTCAAAAGAAGATGTCCATCCTTCTGCCATGTCCATCGAGGGAAGGGACGAATGGATGGAAACCACCGGAAGCGGACTTGATGGCATCACCTGGTCGTTGGAAGGATGTGTGATTTTGTTTAATAAGGACTCCAGCAGACTTTGGCTGTTCAACCACTTTGCATTTGGCTGGTCTCAGGCTATAGTCTCAGGCTACACTCAGGGTTCCCACGCACAAACAGGCTGAAGCACTCCCCAACCTTTGATCCTTTTTTTCGCTTTTTCGGGCCTCTCGTCCCTGTCGTCGGGCTTGGTCTCTGGGAGGTGGAGCTGGAGACCGAGAAGCACTGGCAGCAGCTGAAGACCGAGAAGCCACAACTCTTCGATGGAGCGGTGTGGTGCCCGGGTTTGAATGAGCCAATTGACGAATTGAAATGAGAAAAGAAACCGGTGGTTTCAGGATCTCAAAGCCTACCAGCACCTTCATGTCGGGGTCACCTGGCTGGAAGCCCCGGCCCACCACTAAGGGACCTCCAGACAGGACTCCCCTTGAAGGTCCAGGTATATTCATGAAGTACCTGCACCTACAAGTGCCGTCCGCCTACGAAATGACCTGCTTTTGCTTCGTTTTGGCCCGTTCTCATGTTTGGGGGGCCGTTGGGCTGAATGAGATTTCCTTTCGTGGATATCCTGGAGGGGTTAGCTTCAGTTCATGACCTGTAGTAGATAGTTTGCAATAGACCTCCATAGAGATGAGCAACCTCACATGTGTACCTCTTGGGAATTTAGGGGGTTTTAACTACTGCCTTTTCGACGTGCTTCAATGATTGTTGGAGTCTGTCTCCTCTAACGGCTCCGGGGTAGGCCCCAATGGCCCGGTTTTCATGCCGGTCTTGGGGAGGACAGACGAACCGTGGACGTTTGCCCATCCGAACTTGTGGGCACAGCACCCGAGTCTTCCTACAGCCTCCAAAAAACAGGGGGCTGATGTTCTGGGTCGGCGCCTCTACGCCTCCAGCGCTGCAGACAGCGCTCTTTATTCCGCAAACCAGAAGCTACTTGGATTACTAGGTGGAGGCCATAGCTATTAGGTTGGAGGCCATTAGAAGCCACGAGTAGCAAGCATGCAGCAGAACCCTGAAACACCTGTTATACCGTTCTCGCATGACGCCGGGCCGCATCGTTCTCGCGTGACGCCGAGGCGTTCGTGCGCGGCGGGGTACGCGGTCAAACGGGCGTCGGGTCGTCCTACGGTCGAGTGGATTTTTGTAGTCCCAAGGTGTTTGCAACGCTACGCCTTGGAAGGCGAGGGTGAGAGCCAAACTTTGCTGCTGGAGATGCAGGAGATGGGGAACAAAGACACCAGTTGAGTAGCAAAAGGGGGTGGTAGGAGGTGGTAGGCAGGAAAGCAGGACAAAGCAGGATGATATCAGTTCTTATCAGTTCTTACACTTATTAAAGGCCGGGGCCTCAAAGGATCGTCTTCTCCATGTCGAAGACGGGCACCCAACGAGACGTGCCGTCTCGTTTTGGGCGAGGCGTTTGGGTGACGGGCCGTCCCCGTGAAGCCAGGAATCCAGCTTCAAGTACGTGGTCTATACTCATTTGACACCCCAGGGGCAGCTGCTGCCACCTGCGAGGCGAGGGATGGACCTGCAGGGCAATCCAAGGAGTCATTTCAGATCGTAGACTCTTGATCATTTGTGATTCACGTCACTCCCATTCACTACACCCTTATGGGGAAGAGGTCTGGCCCTTATGGGGAAGAGGAAGAGGTATTCACGAGATCCAGGTCGAAAGAGTTTGGGACACATCAGTCTGTGCCTTGCATGGGCCACCCTTCTAGGAGACCGGACCTCCACCTTCTTCTAACGGTCGCTCCTGTGCCCCCAGGCGTTCGGGTGCCACTGGCTTGATGGCGTTGACCTGGACGCAGGATGGCAGCTACGTCTTTGGGAGGTGACCAGTTACACCAGGGAGGTCACTCTTGTTGCGTCCGTTTGGTCCGGGCGGTGGGGACTTTCAGAAGTATCACACAGGACGTCCAAGTGGGTGGTGAAAGAAAAGAACATCAGATTGGGTGTGGAAAACAGACCCAGAAGCAACCCAGTGGGCCAGAGGGCCTTCCTATATATATATATAAAACCCCTGCCATCTGAAAGCCCCCGGCCGTCTCGGTCGGAGGCATTCTCGTGAAGCTGAGAGGTCATGAACATGACGAAAATGAACGACCCCGAACTGGTAGTGGATGGATTGACTAGCAGGTGGAGTAGTTTATGGAGTCAAAACGGAAGTTCTGGGAAGTTGTTTGTTTGTTATTTGTTCGTTGGCTTTCTTTTTAGATAAACCACCCCAGAATCCTTAGGCCCTCCATTCCAGGGGTCGGACCCGACACCTTCGCAGGCGTCCGGGCCCTCACCAAACCCTATGTCCGTCCTTGAAAATTCCGGATTCTTAGGGCACCCTATGTCCATGGTGTTCCAACATGGTCCCTCGGCCGACCTGAGAGCGCTTCCTAGCGGAAGCGGAAGCTCGGCCGAGGCGATCGCAGCACGTGGGCGCCTTTCCGGGCTTCTACCATTGCGTCCCTGCCGGCATGGTGGATGCCGCCTGGCGCCAGGCGTTGGCGCTGGCGTCTCGAGAGCGGCCGTTTTCGTTTGGGTTTCGGTTTCGGTTCCTTCAAGGGGTGCGGAGTGGCGCTACCAACTGAAGCAAGTGCTGGTAGATGGAGCCAGAAGCTCAATGGCAAGACATTGAACTACTTTTATATACTTAACATTTATTATGATGATCTCCTCTGACATTCTGAGGACACATCACTTTGGTTTTGGCTTCCGGACGGGTATGGTTTATATGGATCAGCCATGGATCAGCCAAAACACCAAAAGTCTCTTTCGTGTGAGTTCTTTCACCTGGACATCGCAATATTGTTGATGTTCTCCCTGGCTGTACTCGGACGACTTCCGGACCATCCATTCCCAGCTTTTTGGAAGGGCCTCGCCGCGCCAGCCGAGGTGCCGGACTTGAAGGCCATGATCCAAAAGGAACTCTGGGAGGAGCCGAGCGAGGGGTCGGCTTGGACGAAGCAGAGCGGGTCTCTGCCACAGACGACGTGTGGGGCCGCCGTTCGTTTTGCTCGATTGTTTATTGGTTGGGTGTGAAAATGTAGGGAGACTGAGAACCAAAACCGTCAACCTATCAATATACACACAGTGATGTGCTTTCTAAGTTTGGGCGTTTGGCGGGGGCAAGCCACGCTTCGCAGCAACACCATCCAGCACGTCGCACCTCGCTGCGTTCGCTGGCGTTCGCACCGTTGTGGGCTACAGAACCTCTGCAGTTGGGACATGTTGGGACTGGTCGGGCCTGATGCATGGTATGAAACGATGTGAAAAGGGTGTCGTTTGGGAAAGAGCTCACGTCAACTAGAGTCGCGAGGCCTCCTAGACATGAGACCATTGGGGTTCAAGGCTGCTTGACAACCTGGTTGACGATTTTTCATGATTTTTCATACTTTTCTATTTTTTCCCCAAACAGTGTGGGCACACTGAGGGGTTCTTACGGTAGGGGAAAGGAAGGTGTGCTTAGATCGCTGAGGCGCGCGGGCGTGAACGGCTAATTCGTTGCTATTTACAGTACATTCATGCCTCTCGACATCGTCCATGTGCACTTCGACTGCGCAGGCTCGCAGAATCTCGGGGCCGGCGGCAGGTGCTTCCAGCGACTGCGCTCTCGTTGCGGTGCCGTGCGCATTTTGGTACATGGTGGTCACTTTTCGTGGCAGGCGCGGGGAAACCTCGTGTTTTGGTGCTCCGAAGACGACTTTTTGTGACAGGTGTGTTTTACTTCGAAATGCAGTTTTCTTAGCAGGTGCAGCACTTTGGACATGGTGGTGATCGTCGAGGAGCTCAGATTTCGTGACAGGTGCAGTGAATCGTGACTTTTGGACATGCGGCTCGTTTGCAGATTTCGTGGCAGGCGCAGCACTTGGTGGACCTTGACGTGCAGATTTCGTGGCAGGCACAGCACTTGGTGAGCCTCGAAGTGCAGATTTCGTCGCAGGCGCAGCACTTGGTGAGCCTCGAAGTGCAGATTTCGTGGCAGGCACAGCACTTGGTGAACCTCGAAGTGCAGATTTCGTGGCAGGCACAGCACTTTGTGAACCTCGAAGTGCAGATTTCGTGGCAGGCACAGCGCATGGTGAACCTCGAAGTGCAGATTTCGTGGCAAGCACAGCGCTTGGTGATGCAAATTTCGTGGCAGGCGCAGAACTTTGTGCTCTCAGCACTCACCCTCACTCTCCCACTCTCAGTCGCACTCGCACTCACACTCACTCACACTCGCACTCACACTCACTCACACTCGCACTCACACACACTCACTCTCACCCACACACTCACTCTCATTCACTCACACCCACTCTCATTCTCAGTCTCATTCTCACTCTCGCTCTCACTTACTCTGCTTTCCTTCCATCCTTTGCGTCTGCCCCCATTGCTTTTCGAGGTTCTGCTTCGTTCTTTCGGTTTTCATCTTTGGTTGCTTTCTTCTCTTGTGTTTTCAATCCCCTTACATGCAAAACACAGAAAGGAAAGTCGATATGCTTGAACCATCTTTCTCATGCAGTGCCCGCGTTCCACGTGCCCGGTTCAGCGTTCGAAGCGGCGCTCGATCGAAACGTTCACGTTCGACGCTCGCACGCTCGAAGCGGCGCATCAACACGCACATTCGACGCTCGAACGCTCGAACCGATTCCGAAACCGGACGTGGTTCTACCTGAACCCACCTAGTCAACCTGACGTTCTCATCACAAACCTTTGTCGGCACAGCTGTCATCACCTCCCCACCCAAACCAACCTTTCGTCCACAGTAATCATGCGTATGCCCTCCAGTCTCTTACTGAGCCTGTCAGCAGGTTCAACGACCGTGTTTCCCAATCATTAAGCCTGTGTTCCTCAACCACGCGTTCTGGTGTTCCACAAAGTCGCAGGTTGAGTGACCATTAACAAACCCCATCATCAATGCCAAGGCATGTGTCACCATGCGTTTGGTTGTGTGCATATTTTTTGTCGTAAGACGAAAGGGATCGCAGGAGATTGGCGCTGACTGGAGCTTGGTGACCGATTGCCGCTTTCACGCCTTGATGGACACGGGCCATGAACAAGGCCGCCTCCGGACACCGACGACGGACCTTCCTTTCGATTGGATGGTGAAGGTATGCAGAAGCAGGGCGTTCCCTGGTTGATACTTTCATTGACTTCCGTAGGAGGTGCTGCCGTAGCTATCGTACCGTAGATGCTACTGCCACCCTCCTATTACGCTGATGATGTCTTCGACTCTTTGGGCCGATTTTCGGCGCATGGCGGGTCGGGTGGCAGTGGATCCACCGGACCGATAGGAGGATGGCAGGTGGATCCGTTGGAACATGTTGGAACCCTATGATCCCTATAGTGAGAAGGACGGAAGGACCACCTGGAACCCGGGAACCGATCCTTGGAGCGTTGGGTGTTGCCTCGGAGCTCCGAAAACACCGAGGCTTCGCCGGATTCGATGGACGCCCAAGGGCTGGATCCACCTGCCCAGATCGGCCCCACCCTGGACCCTCTTCCGGCATCTGGGATTCGAAAAACCGTGGTTTCATATTGTTTCAATTAACATGTTTCAATTGCCAAAGAACCGTTTGACGAATGATTTTTACACTACACCGCCAGGTCGTTCCTATTGCTTTCATGGGCGAACAGAAGGCGACCCGGGTGATTGCATACACTCATAGACACTCGCAGATGTGACGGATGTGACAGGCCACAAGTATGAATTCTTGCTCTCCCTGAAGCTCGCCATGACGTCGGAACAGGTGTACAGGCATGCAGAAACTGAAGACGAAGAACGCCGTTTTGACCAGCCGATTCTCGAGAATGGGCCAAGCGAGAAGGGGCAGTATCCAATGCACTGTAATTAGCTCTTAGTGGCCTGGTGAACATGGTGGGTCACCGACACGCTTCGACGGTGAAGTTTCAATCACACCATCCACAAGAACGGTCGTGATGGGGCATGTGGCGCCCACTTAGACGTCCCACAACGAGCAAAGTCCTCACCCTGGAAGTCAATCCCGGTGGAAAGTTACAGTAGGGAGGTATAGGAGGTAGTTCCTCAGCAAGAATATATACATTGTAGACTCTTGATTAGTAACACCCCCCATGGAAAAAACCTCGTCATACGGGGAAGCAGAGAGCCTGCAATGGGGCGGGCGTTTCGACGGATGTAGACGTCGCAGCTCAGACCTCGTCCATGCGAAGGATGGATGGCTTGGTTTAAAAGCGGTTGGGAGTCTCCCAAACATACCTGCGCCAGTTGGGCAACTGGATGCAGCTGGTGTCAAGAAGCCAAACTGAGCGATGTAAATCATGATGCAATCAATTTAGTGAAGGTCACAGATGGTCAAAGTATCAAGTGCACCACCAGAATGAGCCAGAAATGAACTTTCAGCCAGACTTGGGCTCATTCTGCGCAAGTCCATCAAGTCCAAAGCCTCATTCTGTAAAATCTAGGTGGAAAGTCTGGTGGAAAGTTGTTGCTGAGAATCATGGAGAGGCATTGATTTTTGATTTGGTCAGTGGATGATTTGGGAGACGTCGAGACGTCGGTCTTCGAAGTGGCGGACGTCGGTCTTCGGTTATACAAGTATAGCGTGGCCATTCAAGAGTTCTCCACGCCACTCCACAGGAAAGAGGCGTGTGCCACCATCAAACGAACAGCGGCTGAAATGCATGTAAAGATTATGAAGTCTCCTCCAGGTTTGCGATCATGAACTTGCCGATGGCACAAGCCACGTCCGCTGACCAAAGCCCCTTGCGGGCTTTGCCAGTGCAGGAGTCAAGGCAATTCAAGGCAAGAGGAACTCCACCTGAATCGACCACCCAAAACCATCCAAAACCACCTGAATCGACCACCGCTTCCTCGGCCTCTCCAGTCGGTTTGATACCCCCTCAGCGGCCGGAGCGGCAGGCAGTACCTGGGAGCCACCGACCGGAAGGAGCACCAGGTCGGACGGAGCCGCGCAACGCGGGGGGGGGGAAAACCATGGGTTCAGCCATCGAAGACGGGTGAACGTGCTCGATGTTCTCAGTCTTCTAAAGACCATTCATAAAATACGCACTACTGCAAAACTTAATTGATATATATGGTTTAACGCCCCCGTAACTAAAGGGGAAGGGTCTTTCAGGTCCAAACCTCGCAGCTCCGGCTCGAAGGGAGACGGATGTGGGGGCACGCCGCACCCTGCCGGTGCGGCGTGTGTTTGACCCTACAGCGTATCTGCCATCACATTGGCGATTTTACACGCGAGCCTGGATATTTGGATTTTGCCGCTGAGCGATTGAGGGCGCTGGCCGGTGAGCTTTGCGACTTCATCGACTCCAGGCGGCGAGACACCAACCCTCGAGCGGCATCTCGAGGGTCGGATCTCCTCACCTCAGGTGGTGCAAGGGAGAGCGGAGGTGATCCTGGTCAACAAGATCCAGAACCCGGACACCAAGGACGAGAAGGAGCAGCCAAGGAAGAGCAGGTGGAGTCAGTGAAGAGTGGAGCCCGAGAAGTCAAGAGTGAGGACAGCGAGTGTGCCCCGGCTGAGGAAAGAGGAGTCAGCCAAGCCAAGAGTGAAGCGACCAGCCACCCCAGTACAGCGCCAAAGAAGAAAGCCAAAGGTGAGGAGAGAGAGCCACTCCCCCGCAGAGATTCGAGGAAGAGGACTAAAGAGGAGCCAGCCCAGAGTGAACGGGAGGACGAAGAGCCAGGTACTCCTCACTCTGAGCAGAAGAAGAAGAGAAGGAGGCGTACGAGGAGCCGTTCGCCCCGGAGGCGCGGCCGAAGCCACAGTGAAGAGAAGGGTGAGCGAAGCCATCATCACTCCAATCCAGGAGGTCGGTCATCCGCATCGAAACCGGAACCTCGACCTTCGCAGAGGCCAGAGTCGGATCCCCCGGCCAAACTGAGGCCCAGGTCTCCTTCGCATCCTCCCCCAGGTCGTGGACGAGGACAGGGGTGGAGTGCGGCCCCGCGTAGGGACTACAGACAGGAGGAGTGGAAGCCTCAGGATTGGAAGAATAAGGGAGTCAAGAAGACCGAGACTCAGCGCTACTTCAAGGAGTTCCTGGCACAGAAGCGGGGCCTTTGAGGAGTTTGAATGGCCCCCAAGAGAAGGCCAGCAGCAGCTGTGGATAGAAGGCGAGATCGCGGTGTTCGAGCCAGGCCAGCCGCAGTTGTTCCTCCTGAGGACTTGGATTTCTCGAAGGGAGGCTTGATAGAGGGCCATCGGTTGACAGTGAGCGAACTCCCCGTGGGCACCAAGATCTTTGTACAAGCAGTTTATTGGGATCGAGAGGTAGAGCTTACAGGCGAGATTGTGGGCGTCTCCTTGGTGGCAGGTCAACTTGAGCTGAGGTTGCAGGCCGGAGGGACTTCGGACGAGGGATTGCTGAGGTGGCTCTCTGGTCAGGAAGATCGATGTCTCAGGTGCCACCTATGCGCGAGGGGGTGTTCGAACAGCCCCACGGCCGACGACTACATCCACCTGAAGCAGGCCAGGAAGCTAGAGGTCGAGCCCCCGGCTTGGGGCGAGAACTTGAAGGAGGCGGCAGAAAGCGAAGCTTTGAGGAAATTGGCCGAGGAGTCAGGAAGGAGAGAAAAAGAAGCTCGTGGAAAGGGGGTAGGCGCAGGACGCCCTCACGAGGGAGAGAAGGAGAAGAAGGAAGAGGAGGTCAGCAGTTCGAGTACGAGTTCATCCAAGAAGAAGAAGAAAGGCAAGAAAAAGAAAAAGAAAAAGAAGTCGAAGCGCTTCCGAGTACAAGGAAAAAAGGACCTCAAGAAGGTTTTCGAGTTCACTGGCCTGGACCCCAGTCTCAAATCGCGCAAGCGAGTCATGAGGTTGGCACGACGAGCCATGAAGAACAGAAACAAAGAGGATTCGGAGAGCTCCTCGTGCAGCGGCACGGACGGGAGCAGCACAGAGGAGGCGGTGCAGCATCTGTTCGAGGAGACGCACAAGATCAGGAGGGCGGCAACGAGAGGGCCAGGGGCCTTGACGGCCTACACGGTCTCGAGCATGTCCAAGTCATTGCTCACCCAGCAAGGACTGCCGATAGAGGAGACAGATGGAGCAGTGCCGTGCATAGCCCTGCAGTATCACAAGCAAGTGTTGTCCCAACGTTTGTCGCCGCCTCTAGCGAGGGAGTCCCTGAACATCTGTGCAGCCACGGATGCAATACTTGGAGGACAAGTGGCACTGGGTTTAGACATCCTGGTGCAACGCCTCAAGAGTATAGAGGCCCTGGGGGCTGGACAGAGTTGGGCGGCTTCACAGAAACTCGAACTAGCGCCTCAAGAAGGATCTCAGTTGGCAGCATTGGAGGAGAGCAGGACAGCAAACAGGGAGTTGCGCGAGGAGTTGAAAAACAGACAGGCTTCACAAAAGACGTGGCAGAAGGGCGAGAAGGGAGGCTCCAAAGGAAAACAGGAGGAGACCAAAGGAAAGGGCAAGAGAGAGAAAGGAGGGAAGGAGAAAGGAAAGGGGGAAAGGGAGAAGGAGAAGTAACTTCTCCTCCCCCGATGCTCAGTGAACAAGAGATTGAGGAGGAGCTGGTGAGAGTGGCGCAGATGGCTTTCAAGAGAGAAGGGCTGGAGCAGAAAGAGGCACACTATGACTTCACGAGGCTGCGAAAACCGGACGGGAGTGAGCAGAGATATAACCACTCCTCGGATGCCATTTTGGCAAGTACAGCGCCAGACGGAGATGCCGCTCCTGATGGCGAAACCACACCAAGTCCGCTCTCAGAGCGAAAAAAGAAGCTGAGTGCGGGAGGGTTTCGTTTCGTGGACATCGTGGGGGACTTGATCAGGGACCTGTCAGTTTCGTTTCGCAAGACCGTGACCTCGGGGGAGGTTTTCCCCCTCCCCTATGGCAGTTTTCTGGAGAGGCCCCCTTTTGATGATTTGGGTTCTGAGGCAAGAGAGGTATTGAAAGGAATGATCGTTGGACTCAACAGTATTTATGATTGTCAACCCTCTGCTACTCAGCGTGTTTCACCATTGCATGTCCGTATTCTCAAAGGTTTGTGCAAAGAGGCCCAGAGTTTTGTCAAGAAGACCGGAAAATTTGACTGTTTGTCATGGAAAGATTTCTTGCGGGTCCGAAGCGTGGACTACAAGGGGGAAGAGGTCAAGACAGCGCAACGCACATCATGGAGTCATGTCAAACCCGCTTTACCACAAGAAGTAGGCACCGTGGATCTGGAACAGGTGGTCAGTGGCGGCTGTCTTCACTACGTGCAGAATTTTAGGCAATATTTGGTTCCTGAGGCAGCCCAGGTCTATACCAAGCCACCCAAAGTCATGGTGCCCGACGACCAGTGGGAGAGCATGTGTGAGGGTCTCCTGTCTCGAGGCATTTGCGGGGTCATTGCGGAGAGCGAGCTCCATCACGTTCAAGGCCGCCCCTTGTTGAACGGATTATTTGGAGTTGTGAAGGAGGAAACTGACAACGGGCAGGAGGTTCATCGCCTGATCATGAACCTCATCCCCCTCAACAAACTGTGCAAGGGGGTTGAGGGAGACGTCTCAACTCTCCCGGCATGGCCGAGTATGAACTCCTATTTCATCCAGCCCACTGAGGATCTCCTTATTAGCAGTGAAGATGTGCGGTGTTTCTTTTATTTATTCCGGGTTCCTCGTGAATGGCTCCCCTTCTTGGCCTTTTCAAAACTAGTACCACCCCGTCTTTGTCCTGACGAGCACGGCCGCTACTACCTTACCTCTTTAGTGCTGCCTATGGGGTTTTGCAATAGCGTGTCACTGGCACAACACATACACAGGAACGTGGTGGGTAGTGCTGTAGCGGAGGCCAGGCTGGGAGGTCACAGAGGAGGCTGGGAGGCTGAGCTGAGGCGGGACAGGCCAATGACAAGCCAAAACCCTGCCCATCGCATCTACCTGGATAATTTTGACCAGTTGGAGCGAGTGGATTCTCAACTAGCTGACTCATTGAAAGGCACTGCGTCGTGTTTAGTGGGAGGACTGAGGAAGGCCTACGAGAAGCTATGCATTCCACGTCACCCCAAGAAGGCCGTTGAGCGACAACACCAGGCTGAGGTCCAAGGGGCTCTTGTCGACGGGCAGGAGGGCACAGCCCGGCCTCGACCGGAGAAGGTGCTACGATATGTTCAACTCGCCCTGATGTTGCTTGAGGGGGGCTCATGCAGTCAGAAACAGATGCAAATAGTCGCAGGAGGACTAGTTTACATGGCCATGTTCAGGCGTCCACTCCTTGGCAGTTTGAACGCCTTATGGGAGTTTATTCAGAGCTTTGCAGCGAGTGAGAAGACATTTCGCGTCATCCCTCAACCGGTCCGAAGGGAGATAGCTAGGTTCTGTCTCCTGGCCCCCCTGGCTCGAATGGACTTCCGCCTTCCGTTCTCCAACCTGGTGACGGCGAGCGATGCTTCGACAAGTGGAGGTGGAATCACGGCTTCTTCACGGTTGAGCCCTTTAGGTTGTATGGCGGCAAACTGCAGTGTTCGAGGCGATGTGGTGGAGCCCAGTGACCTGACGCAGGTGTTGACTATCGGCTTATTTGATGGTTTGGGTGCCCTGCGAGTGGCAGCCGATGTCATTGGACTTCCAGTCGTAGGACATATTAGCATTGAGAAGCATCCACCTGCACGGAGGGTGGTTGAAAGTCGGTTTCCGCAGACGACCTTTGTGGAACAGGTGGAGATGGTGGACGAGGCCATGGTGCAAGGCTGGGCATGTCACTACACCCAAGTAGGACTTGTCATCCTTGGAGCCGGACCCCCGTGTCAGGGAGTTTCAGGGCTAAATGCCGATGGCGAGGCGCCCTCCGAGACCAGCGAAGCTGCTTGTTCCAGTACGTTGACCTCATTCACCAGATGCTCAAGAAGGCTTTCCCTTGGGCGCAAGTCCATCGGTTGATGGAATCAGTTGCGTCAATGGACGAAGAGGATCGGGCTTTGATGAGTGAGTCGGTAGGATGCACACCCTACATCGTTGACCCCGTGCACATCTGCGGAGCTCGTCGTCCTCGTTTTGGCCGTCATGGGAGTTGGTTGAAGGTCCTGGCGTGACCATCTCCTCGGCTCGTGGACAAGGTTGGACAGCATGCCAGACAGTGGAGTTGGTGCATTCGGTTGACAGCAAGGTCTTTTTGGAGCCCGGATGGGAGAAGGTCTCCTCGGAACCTTTCCCTACTTTCACCACGGCGAGACCGAGCTATACTCCAGGCAGGCGCCCTGCGGGAATACAGCAGTGCAGTTCAGACGTACTCCAGGACTGGGCAAGCGATTTGCATCGCTATCCTCCGTACCAATACTTGCACAAGTTCCGTGTCCAAGACAAGCACGGCACCACTAGGTTGTTGAACTGCGAGGAGAAGGAGGTGCTCATGGGTTTCCCTAAAGGGTACACCGTCCAATGTTGCCCAAAGCAGGAACAGCACACACAGGCTTGGCAAAATGAGCGCATGACACTAATTGGAAACAGCTGGAACGTGTTTGTGGTTGCATGGCTTTTGTCTCAGCTCTCCTGGGTTCTGGGGGTAGGCCCTGGATTGACCCTACGGGAGGTTGTTGAACAATGTCTACCAGGAGGAGGACGAACGCTACAGAGTTTCCTGTTGCGGCCCTATATGCGACCACCTCAAACTGCCAGTGTTGAAGACAACGATACATTGCTCGCCAAGAAGATTGCCGGGTTGACTAGCCTGAAGGGAGAAGACATTCTCCTGCAGACCCAAAGCGAAGATCCGGTTCGTTATCACCGTCTCCGCGCAAGCATCCCTGCCAATCTGTGGAAGTGGCGCACTATCTGCGGCTGGAAGTGGAGAGGTGCGAAGGAGCACATCAACGTCTTGGAGCTCCGTGCAGTCTTCACTACTTTACGTTGGCGAATTGGGAAGAAAGGGCTGCTGCACCAGCGCTACCTGCACCTGGTAGACTCCCTAGTATGTCTGCATAGGTTGGCTCGAGGACGATCGAGCAGCCGCAAACTCAGAAGAACTCTGCTTCGAATCAACGCGTTACTCCTGGCTTCCGGAACTCAAGGACTGTGGGCATATGTCCACACGTTGCAAAACCCGGCTGATGCTCCCAGCCGGTACCCAGTCCGCAAGCGATGGCGAAAGTAAAACGACCAATGCTTGAGGGAAGCTCAAGGGAGGAACGCAAGAAACAAAGAGCAGAGTTAGGCAGTTTGCAATCATTGACGGTGCAACCACGGACGCGAGCTCGTTATGACAAAGCTTTGGAAGGCTTCTGGAGTTTTCTCCGAGAGGAAGGTAGAACCATTCCTTACAACCACGCCGAGCTCGATGTGCTTGTCCAGCACTACATCGAACATTTGTGGTCCGAGGGATTCGGTCGTGCGCAAGCTAGCGACACTGTTGCGGCTCTTCAAGACGTTCAACCTCAGGTGAAGGGACATCTACGAGGCACTTGGAGGTTGCTCAAGGCTTGGAGCATGAATGAGGTGCCCAACCGGGCACCGCCTCTTCCTGAAGAAGCACTTCACATGATGGTCGGGTACTCCTTTTTCAAAGAACAGTACAAATTTGGGCTGTCCCTCCTCGTGGGGTTCTACGGGACCTTGCGGACGGGAGAGATCCTCGGACTCTGTTCATCTGATGTCAGCCTGACCAGTGTGAGTGGCCCAGCTGTGATTTCTCTAGGACTGACCAAAGCTGGAAAGCGCCAAGGCGCTTCAGAGAGTGTTACCATGACGGTTGAAGAGCCCCTCCGTTGGCTCCATGCCTGGATAAGAGACTGTCCAGAGCGGGACCCCTTGTGTCCATCGCCTTCCAAGTGGCGACAACTGTTTAATGACGTGTTGCGCGCAACAGGTTTAGAGGCATTAGGCTTCCGACCGTATTCGCTCCGACGAGGGGGAGCGACCTTTTTCTTTCAAAAATGGGGTGTTCTAGATAGACTTCTAATTTACGGTAGGTGGCAGGCTGCAAAAACGGCACGCACCTACGTGAATAGTGGTTTAGCTGCACTGGCGGAGATGAACCTGCCTCGCACTCCTGCAAACAAACAGTTTAGGGCCATCTTTTTGAATTCAAAGAAACACCCTTTGCCGTCGCTTGGCCATACCCCGAGAGGGGGTAGGGCAGGGGGCGGTGGAAAGAGCTCCAGAAAGAGCTCGAAACACTCAACAAAGAGAACTAA